ACCTCTACGGAACAGCTGTCATGTGGTGTGAAGAAGCCAAAAAATCGGACATGGCCTTAGGGGTGTTGGAGCACGCAGTGTCCAAGTTCCCCACTGAAGCGGTTAGCTTTTGTTTCTGTTCTGTTACAAGTTGACATTGATAGATGAAAATAGATCCCTCTTTATTGATCCTCGTGGGTTGAAATTTTGGTGACAATGGCATACTCACCTAATACAAACATAGAAAACTAGATACATGCATGCTTAAACACACAAGTGTGCACACAAGAACATCTATCGACCTTACCAAATACACACAATCACATGAGTACAGACAATTTTATAGACACAACATTCTGATCGCCATAATGCACTGCCCTATCATTAAAATCATCTTTTGCTCAAGGATATATTATTCTAGTTACTACCCGCCTGAGCTCTGAGTCGCTGAAGTGTGCTGACATTTATTGTCAGCCTGAACTCAATAACCCCTCGACTACTGGAACATACTTCTGAACAGTTTTCTGTCGTGTAATATTCAGAGTCTCAGATGTTAATCACAGAAAGCCCGAGTTCGATTACCGAGTAAAGAAGTCATTTACTTTTTTCGTTATTTAGGCGGCTTTTAAAATAATTTAGACTTTCTCTGCTTGTTGCATAAATCCTTGGGCCTACTACTAAAGATGGATTGTTTGACATCAAATACTTTCTGGATTATTTTTTTTCAGCTTTTCGAGTTATTAAAAAAGTATAAATCGCAATTGTCATCACGGCGCAATTGTTAGGTTCTATAAAACTCTCATAATGACTACCTCATAGACAATGCGCTTCCTCGATCTGAAAGTAACGCATTGACATGCAATGTCGGCAAAAGACACTATACACATTTTTTTACAAACACTGTAGAGTCTAAAAGACTCCTTACTATGTTTAAATTACCGAAATCCTGTAACATTAAAAAATAATCTTGTTTGACTGGGTTATCAAAAAGCATTATTCAGTCCAATTATTTCAAAACAGTTCCTCGTTAGCTCCTCTTTTGAAATATGTAGCTACTTTTAGGCAGTCCTGATTAAAATCTGTCTAGAAACGTTCACGTTACTAAGTGTAACGTGACATTAAAAAAAAATCGAAATGTAGCATTGATTTAAACACTTTTCAGCCTCTAGTCATTGATGACCCATTCTTATTTCACAACGCGCTCATAGATAATCGTGTAAGAAAATCATTTCCAAGCCAGTTAGTGTTTTGAGATCTATCGGCTCTCCAACAGATTAGAATGCCCATGTCTTTATCTGGTCCTTATAGATAGTTCATGCGTTTGCCTTTTCAGAATTTTGTGGCTAGTCTTGCCCAGAAATTCTATGACCGCCAGGAGTGGTCTAAGGCCTTGGAATGGGGGGAGAAGATGATCAAATTAGAGCCGGACACCCCTAACCATTACCTGATGGTAGGAGACGTCTGTCTGAGGACAAAGAATTTGAGCAGAGGAAAGGAAATCTTCATCAAGATGAACGAAAAATTCGCCAGCATGGACAGTGTTGTATCTCAGGTGGGTCCATGTAAACCTTTGACCTGTCAAAGGGTAAATACTTTGCAAGATTAATTTTTAGTTTTAGTAAGTTTTTTCGCAACTGCATAAGGTCGAATGAACACCAACAGGATGAATCCAAAGGTGGATAGGCGGGCGCCGGGCAAATAAAGTAAATAGTGGATGTATGAATGGGTGACATAGAAATGTTGGTGTATGAATAGTAAATGAATAGATTAGTAAAGAAATGGGTAGCTAGGTAGAAAGGAGGGTAGATCAAGCAGGCACGTCTTAATAATCCTGTTTGTTGAATAATGCCCATGTTAATAATATAATATATAGAAGGAGAAGAAGAAGAAGAAGAAGAAGAAGAAGAAGAAGAAGAAGAAGAAGAAGAAGGAAAAGGGGGCTTTTTAAAGTGTGGGTCCATTATGTTGCTCGAACTCTATATTGGTCTCTCATGTTCTTATATCTAGATGCATAATAAATTAAATAACATATTTAATCTAGTAAATCGAATCAAACTTAAGAGAAAACAAGTCACTTAATTGCTGACTATAATATTATATCTTGATATGCAATAATGAAAATTGTAAATTCAGTCTAGATTAAGGGGAAAAAACAACTTTTATATTGAACTTGGTGGTGATGCGCGGCGGGGAAGCATGTAGCCGGTTTGGATGACGCGTTTCGACACGTGTCAATACGGCCTGCTGAAACCGAAACGGCTACGTACCAGTCAAACCTGCCCTGACGGCCACCTCTATAAGACGGTCACCTGTACAAACGCCACTTTTCATTTCCCCCCTTAAGTTTTGTCTATATAATCTAACTATGTAAAACGGACTCCTGTCCAACTCGGTCGCGGCCACCATATTTTAACGCACAACCCCTATCACACTAAGCAATAACACCTGTCTTAGACAGCCACCTTAGTGACTCCACTACGTTTTGTCATAAATTGTGCATTGGCCCCTGGCGTTGGGGGCG